CGAGAGGCACAGCAAAGTGCTGCCTCATCGTGCATCTCCTCCATGTATTTGAACAGGACATACGGAAATTCTGCTATTCTTTATTGAAAAAAAATCCTTCAACATCGGATTCGAATGGCAAAAGGGCCTACAACACACACCAGCCGACAAATATTAACATTTATTATATTTTATGGTTAACTTTTTTTTCTTTTCAAGATTGACAGGGGAGGCTCTGCCTCACCTGCCTCCCCTGCCTCCCCTGACCGCACGTCATTGGTTGTTGTCTCTCTCTAAGCTCAGCCCTGTGATACTGACTGAACTGTCCAGGGTGACATCGCCTCTCGCCCAATGTCAGCTGGGATGGGCTCCAGCCTAGTGACCCTAGACAAGTGACCCATATGGTCATTTAATTTAAAGCACTTGTTGTTTTTAACACAACACCGTCATTTTTGATATTCAACCTATTTAGGACAGTGTGAAGGGTTTGTGGAGACTCATTAACAAATATATTTTAGTTCCTTACCTCCAGGTCCTGGCTCTGCAGTAACAATCCACAGTGAGGAGGTGTAAGGGGATATTTAGCAACCCGGATCACTCTAGGCTCTGCTGAAAAGGCTTCAATAACAATCAACTAATGGACTGCACCTGCAACCCAACTCAGGTTATAATGTGTGTGTCTGTTGTGTGCATTTTGTATAGGTTTGTTGATGGTCCACCTGTGTTAAAAGACAAGGGAAGATGACACCACGAACAGATGCTTTACTTTGCACCTCTTTTTCAGTCTTCCTTTTTGTCTCTCATACACACACAAACACACCCATGCTCACCAACACACAGACCTACACAAACAAGCAGAAACGTCATTTAACACCAATAGAACAAGAACAACACCAAGCAAAAGATTTTTTTTCCTATTCAGATGATACATGTGACTTCAGACATGAAGAGAATTTTCTCGAGTTACACACACTGACTCCACTGACTAACAACAGTGTGCAGAGTAGTTGATTCTGGTTTGGAGTCAAACAGTAACTAGCCAGGTCTAGCTGTGACTATAGGATAAAAAAAGAGCATGACAAAAAATATGTTCACCTCATGGGAAAGAAAAGAACAGGTGTGTGTGTGTGTGTGTGTGTGTGTGTGGCTATGCTGTGGGCCTGCAGGGCCACAGTCAGTCAGCCAGTGACGACAGACATGCTGAATTATTCAAATGTCTGTGCTTTGCGAGTGTTGTGTATATGTGTGTGTGTGTGTATGTGTGTGGATACAGTTATAAAATAGTAAAACACCCCTGTCTCCTCTCATTGCATACACATGAACACACACACACACACATATAGGGAGGCAACCTGTCTTTAGCTAAATCTGAGTGTATGTTGGTGTGTCTGAGTGTGTGTGACAGTGTAGTCCTGAAATCCTACATCATATCTCCTTTGTTGCCTCCCCTCTTTTGCTTTCAGCTTTTCTTTGTTTATTTGTCACCGTCTCCTTTCTCCCACTCTCCTGTGACCTCATCCCTGTTGCATTTCCCTCATCTCGGGGCTTTCCTCCCTCTATTCTGTCGTTTCATTTTCTTTCCCCTCTCCTGACATTCTTCTCAGCTGTATGGCTGAGACCTCTGCTCTACCCAGAGAGACTTACGGTCAACACCCTTGTCTGCTATTCTCATTATTCCTCTTCTCCCCCTGCCTCCATCCATCCACCCATCCCTCTTTCTTTTGCTCCGTGGTTCCCCAGTGAACATTTCTTTCCCCCTTTCTGATTCTTTCCTTCAATCACTTGTTCCCCTCTGAACCTTGCTTTCTCCCTCCAGTGTCCACCTCTTTTCCTCCCTTTGCCCGCTTCCTTCTCTCTAAATCAGTTCAATGCTTGACTGGTTGACCTTTTGCTTGTGTTTTTCTTTCTTTACTAATTTTTTCTTCAACTTTCCTACACTTTATTCTCATCACAATTCCTCACCCTCCCTCTCATTCCACCCACGTCTCCCTTCTCCATCCCTCTCTCTTCATCCATCCTCCCTCTCACAGATTAAGGTGGGAATAAGAGGTTTTAGTCTTGGCTGAGGTCCAGTGTTGTAATGGCCACAGCCTGCATCGGTTCAGGAGGGCTACGTAATGACATTTGTACCACGCTGAGTTTAAATGTACCTCTACTAGCAAAAGACTCTCAAACTCCTCCAGACAACATTTTTCAACCCAAGAGCTCTGAAAATTGCTGCTTTTCTCTTATTCTCTTGTCAGCCATTTTTTGCACTGAATTATAAGTTAAAAGTGAGAAACACTGCACTCGACCCAAGGCAAAATAAAAAAAGAGAGATAGATCTGTGTGCAACCAAAGGTTACATCCAAAGCACAAAGAAAACAGAAGCTGTTTTCTCTTTTGTTTTTTGGTTTTAAATATATCTGGCATGTAGGAGCACAGGGAAATAAACACAAACATTTTGGCTATGCCTTTCATCTGAAAGACTGCTGCACACTGAAAAAGCCATAGCCTTTGGTGTATCTCAGTACAATGTAGGAGCAAATGGTGTCTGAATATCACTTTCTCCTTTCCTCCAAAAAGTTTACATGCATTCCATGTGTCCCATCTGGCTCACAACAAGCCTCTAATGACATTATCAATTACAGATCACACAAATCATTGAGATGTTGTGTGACAGTGGTGCCAACTCCCAGATGTTTAAAAATGAAGTGTGTGCATATGCATGTTCCTCTCTCTCTCTCCCTGTGTGTGCATACACACAGTGGCTGCTTCATGAACAGTTACTCCTTTGTGACAAATTTTAACATACGACAAAAACAAAAGAGGTTGTAAACACAGCTGTATTTGTCCACCTGCATGCAAGTATTTGTGCCTCTGCTATTATATAAATGCATAGTTGTAGTGCACATGTTTGCAATAGTACAGATCGTATACTGTGCTCAAATGTCTTTTTTTTTATGCCCATGTAGCTTCCATTATTTTATGTTCTCCTGCACTGCACGATTACCTCAACACAAGATCTTTAGCACTACACGCCAAAGTCTGAGCTGGATCTAAATAATAATCTGGATCAACTGATCCACAATGCCCACATTTATGGGGCTCACAGATAACTTGCTAAACTTGCAACTGTGAGAGAACAAGTGATGCTACAGACTTGCAATGCTGATCAAATTTTAGCTGAAACTCTGCTGACTCAGTGGGGTATCAACAGAGTGGCCATATCTTTAAAAGTTACTGAAGAAAACCACATTATTATGAGAGTCAAACTATCATGGGAATATTGCTTTTAGATCTAATGGCATTATGCAGGCAGGGAGCTGCCTTGGTGGAGGTTTGCACTGTCTGTCTAGTTGCATGATAATTTTCTCAGGGTGCAAAAAAAAAAAACTTGTGGGTGAGGGGTCGATGGTGGAGCACCGAGCATGAAAAACTAGGTGTGCCAGAAAAGAGTGAAGACTGAAAGAACAAGTTGTATGAAGATTTCAAAGAAGGTAGGAATTTGATGGATGTAAAGAGAACCAGTGGAAGGAAGGAGTAATAACGAAGTAGTAATAAATGAGTGATTTTAAATGCTTGAAATGAACCAGGATCTGTTCTCAGTTATAAAACCCATTTCCTTGAATTATCCCGTAAATTTTACACACCCAAACTATAATTCAATTTGCCAAAAGCTCTTCTTGGCCACTGCTCCTGAGTGATTCATGCATCTTTCTAACATAAAACACACACTCTTACTTACACCCTGATGATAGCGATGGTCGGGCCGGCAAAGCTGATGCTGACTGGCCATTTGAGGTATGTCAGCTGAGAAGGGACATTAGACTGAGCTGCTGACACCATCATTTCTTCATCTGATAAATTAAATTCCACTCTTCATCCTCTTTAATCCTTCCCTATAAACACCAATCTGTAAGACTATATACAATATACACTGTACATACTATGTATCTAACTAATATTCATAATGTACCAAGGAGGCAATGATATACAGTAGTAGATCCAGTGAAAGGACAACAAACAACCATGAGCTGAACCATCAGATTACTGCACAGACTGACTCACCAGGGGGCCCAGTGGCTCCAAAGACTGCTGCCAGTTGGCTTTAGGTTGTGTGTGTGTGTGTGTGTGTGCATTTGTAAGACAGAGGAATATTCTATACCAGAAGCTGCTGCTTGTTTATTCTAAACCTGTCTTCCTAAAAAAACCCACATACATTCATTGCACATACACTCTCACACAACCCTCCGTCTCCCTGGGTTTTCGGCTTTGAAGCGGTTTTCCAGGGTTATGGGAGAGTCAAGGGGGATTATGGGTGGTGACACCAACGTCCTCAAAACATCACCATTTATCTGTTATGATGTTTGATTTTTATTGTTTCCTTGCCTGGTGTCAGCAAAATATTACTCTCTGACTGACAAAACAACTGATCAGGCGGTAAAACATAATTCTTAGTTTTCCATTTATTGTACAAAAGAAGTAAAATTACTCCCATTCATTAGGCCAGTGACAAAAATTATTAGTTTTCCAATCAACCCAACCCTTGCCTAAGCTGTCAACCTATTTTTTTTATATATATATAATTTGCTTTACTCTCACTATCTTGTCCTCCTCCTTCTTCATACCTCAACTTAATTATGCTCACTGCTTTTCTCCATCAATCACTTCTCTTCAGCTATAAGCCTTATGGGATCTGCATTCACAGAGGAACCCCAGATGGTGAGTCTAGAGCTCCCATTTCCCTCCTACAGCACAAGAATCATTTGTATGTACAATATGCATCTGTGAGTGTATGCACGCATTAGCGTTCATGAAGGAAACTTGGCGTTAGACCGCAGGACAAACATATGTGACCACAACAGCAGGGATAGAACGGCTGTGATGGAAAATCCAGCCACAACCACTGGAAAGCTCCTCTGCTTTAACTGCAGTTGTGACCATTTTAGAAACCCTCAGTACTGTCTGCTTCATTTCTATCTGGCACTCCAAGCCTGTAGCACAAACACACTGATGACGTATCATGCCTCAACACCTCTGAGAGAAAAAGCTTGGAGACCTGTCCAGCCAGGTCAACATTAGGCAGGGTCCTGACCAGTAACTAACAAAAACCAGATGGGATGTGGAAAACAGACTGCAGTGTAAATGCAGTTGCATACAATGATGTAAGGTATCACTTGGAACTTGGAGACATGTGCTGGTTCTGGCTTGGTCATAAACCTTAAAATGAAGCCAAGTGAATAGCAGTGGAAGAGCTGTAATTGCAGACACCGGTTGAATTTTGGGCTTGTGGTCAACTCTTGCTGCATATATTCCATCTCAGATTTCTCACTACCACTTCCATGTGGGTGCATGTTAAGGCATGTGTGTCACCCAAGAGCATCCACACTTTTTTTCAGGCCCTCCAATGGCAGCAATGTGTGTTTGTGCACGAGCCCCATCCTACCTTATGATTCTTGCCATGTCTGTAGACCATCCAGTCCTCTCCATTGGTGCTGACCTCAAGCTTGAAGGTGCTGACATAGTAGGTTTTTTGAGTTTCCTTTGAAATGGCACCCTGTGTGGCAATGCCTGTAAGCACCTTCAAAGTATGGAGATCCACCTGTTGACAGGAGAAAAGCTTTAATAAAAAAGAAAATTTCATAAACAAAGTATTAAAGAATGTGAACAAGCTGAGAACTGATCACTCAAGTGGTTTGTGAAGCAGCTGAAACAAATGGAAATCCCAAACAAAATTCTCAATTTTATTAATCTAAATCTAATCCTACTTCAAATGTTAGCTCAAACCCCATGTCGCATGCCTGATGAAATACTGCACCTCCTAAAACATCAAATTAATCAGACAGATGTAAACAAACATACACCTGGACTTATCAGCACCTGCCTCTTACCTTCACCTCTCTCCTTTCCTCCCGTCTTCATCTGCTTCTCTCTGTTTCTCTACTCTCTTTGTCTTTCTCATGGCAGATCGATAATAATGACCCGGGGCTCATTTTAATTTCCTCCCATACAATAGCCATAATCACCTCCCCATCCTGACTGTGGATGCTACACTACGTGTCTGGCATGTTGCTAACTGTGTTACATCACATGTGGACAGCACTGTGTGCTGGATACGGGCTTAAAGCTCCTTCGATTCAAAGTCCTTTAAGTAGATACTCCCTCTGCAGTGTCCAAAACAAGTAAATCAAGTGGAACAGTGTAGCTTTCTAAACCACAACATAACATGACAAAATAAAATAAAATACAATCAAGTAATGCTTTTATAAACAGTTTGTAAAGCACAATAATGAAGCAAGATATTTAATTCTTTTAGGAACACAATTTACCATTGTAATGAGGAACACCTGCCAACAATAACTGCTGGGCTACAATTAACCATATAATTATATTGAAAACTGCAGGTCTGAAAATACCTTAAGTCAAATGTTAGGTATTATATTCAGCATTTCAACTAAAGGGAAACTCAAAAAAACAGAATAATTATTTCCCATAACCTTTTGCAACTGTAAAATTACTTTTCACACTACTCATCAAGCTCATCATTGCAAACCTGATGCAGTTTGTAATTAGTATGCTCTACTCATAAAATGCTTTTGCTGAGGGTTATAGTAGTATCATTAAGAAGAAGCTTTATTTTATCGTATCCTGTACAAAGAAATTTTGTGTGGAGCCGAGGGCCCCAGGCCACTGTGTGCATACGCGCCACCATCACAGGCAATTTGGGGGTTCAGTGTCTTGCCCAAGGACACGTCGACATGTGGACTGCAGGCACCGAGATTCAAACCTTCAATCTTCTGGTTGGGAGGCGACTGCTCTACCCACTGAACCACTGTCACCCCACAGTTAACAGTTCCTTACTAGGGACATAGTACATGTGCAACTTTGTAACAGGAGCTTTTCGCATTTTTAAGCTCTCTATTCAAATGAATGATGGCTTCTGCATGTTGGAAGAGAGCAGAAGATGAGAAAGGTTCTAACATTTATTCTCCTCCATGGGAACTGCTGAAACCTGTAGATTAATCAGAACTTGTTGTGTGTGTGTACATGTGTGAGTGTGAGTGTTTACTGTGCCTCCCAAGCGGGCATAGTACAAAACACCGGGGGAGGTAAAATGCTGCCTTTGTTATCTGTCAGAGGGACAGGTGTTTTAGATTACTTCACACACACACACACACACACACACACACACACACACACACACACACAGGCAGATGCACACACATGTCTGCACGTTTAGGGCCAGGCAGACAACTAATCAATGGTACGGAACCAAGGAGAGGAGCAGATGAGTAAAGAAGGAGGGGAAAGGAGTGAGGGAGAAGCAGAGAGAGAAAAAAGAAGAGCTGGGGGTGAGGACAAATGAAAGACAGAGAGAGAGAGAGACAATGATATGCTAAGTGAGGCTTCCCAGGGAAGGTTCCTCATCAATCACAGAGTTGTTAGAAGAACGGAGCCACCAGTGCTCACATCATCAGCCCGCACCACACCTCACTGGGCCAGAACAGAATAAAACACAACAATTATATAAGCTACATCAGTGAGAGAAAAACCCACATGTGGCTCTTGAGCCAACATGGCAACATATGCACGCCTGAGCTGCATGGGCACATGTATCAACAAACACACATGCATTAACACGCACACACATACTTATAAGAGACCGGATGGTGCAAGATATAAGAAAGAGAGGCATGTTGGCATTTATGACAGCTGCTTGTCAAGACACCAGCTATTGCACACATACACATGCACGGGCTTTGCTCTCTGCAAAGTGTTAACGCAGGCGAACAGCTGAGAGCCTCTGTGGAATGAAGCGACCCAACCACAACACTGGTGACCAGAGAGTGACAGAAAGACAGCAAAAGACACATAGAAGCTATATATCCAGGCTGTCAAACCAATTTTATGCAAATATGTGATGTGTCACAAACAGTAAAATCTTTATCGGGGGTTTTCTGTGGATTGAGATTATTGTATAACGGTAAGTCTTTCAGCAACTGATTCATGTTACAAAAATTCTTTAGAGTCAGCTAATTTGAGAGTGGATTGGTGAGAGCATGCTGTCAGCTGCAGTGGACGTAAGACAGGAAGGAAGTATGAAACCGATGAGACCTTGGCCTTGTGCTGCCTCTTGGCCACAGTCCTTTCCTGTGTTTTTCTGGACCAAAGTTTGACTACAGTGGAGCTCTGACAGTCAGAGCCACTGCTTTTGTTCCACCTTTATCTGTGACTATCTGAGATTGTCACATTGTTCTTGTACATTAACAGATGAGGTGCTGTCTGTACATAAAATAAAAAATGCTCCTCCCAAAAAGACCAAAAAGGTCCAATGGGTCCCACCCTGTCATCATGTTTCCTAACTTTGCATATAACAAATAAAGATTTTGACTTTGACCAGTGTCTATCACCAGACCAAATTTCATCCCATCCAATCTGGATCAAGGATGGTAGGACACATTGTGTGTTGCTCTGGATCTTTTTTTTCACAACAGACTGTTGCATGAGTGAATATAATGCCTTGGCCGAGGTACATGCGCTCACTGAGTGCTCTTATTTTCAGAATGTGTTCTAATTTAACTTATGCTATAAATTTTAATCCCGTAAAAAAAATTTCTACAAAATCCTACTACTGTACAACGCTTTATACTGTATATTAAAAATTCTGCCATGTTTTTTTATTTTAAAAATCAGTATAAAGTACAAATAAAGCACAGTGTTCGACCACAAGGTCAATCATCTATCATAAAGCACACTGAAAATTATGATTATCCACCCACCCACTAAAAAAACAATATGCCAGGGTTAAATGTGTACTGGTTTTATTAGACTATAGAGAGGTGACACCCAAGAAGTTAATCAGTTGTTTACAGATGGCATCGCACTGAAACATGCCTTGCTGCCCTGTTTGAATCCATTTCTGTCAAAGGGGTGAATGAACCTCACAGTCCGTTCCCCCTCTCTCTCAGACAGCCTCATAACTCAGGCTTGGCACAAGATAGGCACAAAGTTGGCCCTGTGATAGAACACAGGAAACAGTGCTTAACCCAGGCATCTAGCTGCTAAACCTTGATATTGCTACACCTCCCACTCACACTCTGTGTCGCTCGCTCTCTCACTCACCCACACATACACTGACACAAATATAGCTGTGATAGAGTTATTATGTGTGACATGACAACACAAAAATGCTGTTAAAATAAGTGTTTTTAGTTTAGGCAGAGTCACTTTCTTGTTTCAAGGAAACAATTCTGCATTTTAGGATTAGGCTCAACAGTAACATCCAAGGCTGAGAAATGAAGCCAGAGTGGAAGTGTTAACACCTGCACTTCCTCACATGGCCAGTTCAGGTTTTAAGGAAAAACAAACCTGTTCATAGCTTGAAAGAAAAAAACAGTTTTATTCTCTATAGTTAATTTTCCCTTCCATGACAACTGTACATGGGATGAACGTTTATATAACTTGTCCATTTAAATTATATTGAGGCTAAAAGTTATGCATAATTAAGGGCGTAGCCACTTTGAGTGACAGGTGGGAGGGTCCCACCACAGCTGGCTAGCCACTAGCTGTATAGTCAGCTCCACTCACTCCACCTCTTTGGCTATTTTTGGATTAGCTGGAGTTAGGCAGTACCACTGGCAAAGGCCAGACGTAAGCTTCAGAAAACCAAAGGGTGATAACACAGAGGGTTCATCCATCTTTTATATACAGTCCATGATTAGACTCTTAGATTTGTAGTTGGCGCTGTCACCTCACGGTAAGAAGGCTCTGGGTTCAAGCCCGGGGCCTTTCTGTGCACAGTTTGCATGTTCTCCCTGTGTCTGCGTGGGTTGCCCCCCCCCGACCCTATTCAGGAATAAATGGTATAGCTAATGGATGGATGGACCAAAAACATATTAAAATAGCTCTTTACTGTCTGTGCATTTTACCCCATCTGTTTAGTCAACAGTGCGAGTTCAGTGCATGTGGAACAGACGTTCCTTTGTCTTTCAGTGTATTGTAGTTAGATTTAAATAAGAACTGAGACAACTGAATGCATGTTTTAAAGCTGAGGACAAAATCATACCTGTATGTACTCCCTGTTGCTGTCCTCACCGGGCGTCCATCCATTGTTGTTGTAATTGAGTCGGGCCTGTCGTGGCAGCCAGTGACCATCATAGAAACTTGATGAGGCTGTGATCTGGTCGTCTGTGATCTTTCCTGACTCCATACCGAATGCATAGCTACAATGGAACGCTAAAAGGGAGAGCAGAAGAGATTCGGGTGAATATTTTTTCATAATAAAAACACAAACAACAGGTAGCAACTTACACTTACTCTCACTGACTTCCTTGTGTGTCATGTTGTAGCGAGCTGAGAAGCCATCTTTAGCCACTGCCATGTCAGTGTGGAAAGACAGAGAGAGAATCCCAGTAGACGACTGGATCTCAGGAGGCACCCTGGTCCCACAGTACCGGCCAATCAAAGGGCCCACTGTCAACCATACAAGAATTATTTAATTAGCCATCAGACTGTTTAAATTCTGCCAGCAACTTAAATATGTCAGTATGGACAACAGTAAGGAACTGAGTCACCAGGTGACATAATGGTTTACTCGTCATTCTTTATCCCTTAATCCACTCATTTGTTTATCTATATCCTTTACATTGTTTATTCTCTTTTCCATGACCTCTTTCACTACCTGTCCACTGACATTACACACATTCTCATCACACTACATTCTAATGTCATCACCCCTCGTCCCTGCATCTGTATTCTGGACAGGACGTGGTTTTACGAGGTGTGATATGTATACTAAATCCAAGGGTCTAAGTAATTCCTTTACTGTCTTCTTCACTAAAGCCACAACTTGTATATATCAACACAAACAGTGTGATTTAGAGCCCTAGGGTGTGTGTGAAGGGGTGGGAGCACAGATAGTAGATTCATCCTGCCCTGACTCCTCTCTCACACACATGAGGAGGCTTGTGGAGGAGGAAGAGGATGAGAAAATAGCTGGCAATCGATCAGTGCTGATAGATTTTTTTTTCTTGGTTTTGGAATGGTGGATATTTGAAATGGGGCCCTTGAGCAAATAACAGTAATAACTCTTTTCTTAATAGGTGTGAGGAAAACAGGAAGAAGGGAAGAAAAGAACATCTCAAATCCACAGATTCTGTAAATGAAGGGATGGTATTTGGATAAAATTCTGGTCAAACAATTAATACTTAATTCAATAGTTTTTTTTAAATAATTCCTTATTTAACATTCCTAGCTTACAGATACAAATCATCTTGTTCAGTTCCTGTTGCCCCGTCAGAAAACAGAAACATCATCACACACTGCAATACTTCATAGTCTAGTTTTCTCTCTTTGTGTCTTCTTGTCCTTGTGCGGTTCCTGATCCCTGCTTTCCTGCAAAGGGTGAAAGTAAGTGCTTCACCCCTTCATCTAATCCTGAATATTTCCTTCCCTTTCAACTTCCTCTCGCTTCATTTCACTTTCCTTCTTTCTTGTTGTCTCTCTCCATCACTCAGAGCAGAAGCCTTTTATCCTCTCCTTCTCTTCCACTCTTCTTTTATTTTGACTTTCTGGTCAACTTTATGTTCTACTTTCATTTTTGCTTCACCTCTCTTGTCTTCTATTAAATCCTCTGGCGAAGATGGATATGAGTAAAGATACTGTGGCTTCTTTCTATTCTCCTTTTAACCCCCCTCTTTTCCTGGTTCCATCTCTCTGGCTGTTCTTTCCTCCTCAGACTAAATTCGTTAAGTCAGGTTATTCATACACTATAAAAAACATAATTATTTGCTTTCATTTGCTACCAGCTGATTTCTAAGTACCTTAGAAGATCTGGGAATTAAGAAATTAAAAATGTTTCCACTCCAATTGGTCAGTTTGTAAAACTAAATACACTGGTTGAGAGAAATAGAAGCTGTCACACAACAAACTACATATAAAGTCATCAAAAACTAAAATGAAGTAATATAAAATATTAAAGCAGGTGTTTATTTTCCAGGATGAAAATCACTGTATTCCCTTTAAATCCTCCTGTTTCTCAGTGTTCTTCTTGGAGGAAGACCAGAGGTCCTCTGGCCTCCATTTACTTATCTCTGTGTTCCAGTCTTCCCCTCAGTGTAGGACTTTTCTTTGCTCTTTTCGTTCTTGTAAACTAGATCCAAGGTCTTTGTGCCTTAGACTCGTCCTTCTGCACTCTTCCAGTTCTTCTCGTAGCTAGACCAGAAATATCCTAGCCCTCTGTCGGTCCTCCTCTCACCTCCCCTCTTTTCTCCCTCCTCTCACCAACTCTCATTTTATTGTACCCTTGAAAAGTTTTTCTCCAAAGTAGGTGCCAACATCCTGCCTGTAAGCTTAACTTTCATCTTCCTACTCACAGCTACTAAAATAGTTGCTACTCCACCTCAGTCAATAATGATGTAGGCAAGGCAGAATGCATACTGTACCATTTTTACTTAGCTCTGTGTACAGGCTCATGAAATGGCTGACTTACTGTTTGACATTTCCATCAAGTTTACCCTCATCAACACTTTTTTCAGAGCTGGACACCAAAATCATTGTCATTTTCAGATGATTAGTATAGGTCTCACCTCCTGGGAGCCCGTCCCACACTTCGAGCCAGTCGTATTTGCAGTCGCCCTCCCCACCTGGCAGGGGGTCATTCTCCAGGTCAAAAGTGAGGAAAGTGAGGGTTACATCCATGCTCGGGGGGACGATGATGATGAAGGAGCACTCCAGGTTGTGGGGGTATTTGTCAGGGAAGCCCGGGGACTCAATGAGACCTGAGGGGCTGGTGAAGTTATGGGAACAATCTGAACCTGGGATGAAAACACAGAATGTTGAACAGAAAATAAATATCAATAGCAGTCTGAGGTTGGTATACCTCATTAACTGTGACCTTATCTAGAGAATGTGTTTAGAAAAGGGTGTAGTCACCTTGGACTGGAATTATACATCAAACTAATGATATTAATCTGGGCAGACGCTCGAGTGCTGTTTTTAGAGGAGCCTGCATTCAAACTCACAGCCAACTCGAAATCTGCCTTAGAATTTCATAATCCTCTGGAGTTGTTATTTCTGTTTTCTTCATTAGATAGAAGGGCTATGTGAAATTAACTGTGAATCCACATTATGTACTTTAAAGGCAGTTAATGTGATTTGTGGGAAGCACAGGGAATGTGAACATGAGTGTGGTTAGATCTACTGAACCTTAACTGTGCTGAAGTAATTATAGTTTTATATAAATCTTAATCTTGCCAAATGTATGTTCAAAAATGGCCATGTAGGGAATAACAATGGCTGATTCAGGTATTTCATCTTCAAAAACATAACATAGATTTTAACCAGCAGGCCTTCAGAGGGTAGATCAGTGATGTTCTCACACTGTGCTGCCTGTAAAGTCAAGGATACAGCAAAGTATAAGAAAGAAAGTAGAAGTACAGGGGACAGCTCCTGGGAAAATGAAGGGGCAGCCTCGACCCCACTCTAACCTTTAGGAAAAATGACCAGACATTCTGAGAGAAACTGAAAAATAGGAGGGAGAAAGACAGACATAAAATCTTTTGACAGTATCACAGTCACATGGCCCTGCTGTCATGAGAAGCTTTAGATATCATCACACCTGTACACACACACACACACACACACTGATTCTCACAGTGATCTAGGGTAATCTGGGGATCTGTAATACCCTCTCTATTAATAATCATATACACATTATAGGCCGAAGGCGGTGGTCGCACCAGCTGGATCATTATTCCGACCCACACAGCCATGTATGACCAAACGGTTACACACACACACATACACAAACCCACACAGTCTAAGCTTCTTATGGTAACCCATTTCCCTCCAGTCTGTTTGGGTGTCTGGACATGTTTCAGCTGTTTTCCAGTTTTAATCAGTATGGGTATAGACACAGGCCCCTGCCCTGACCAGCTCCCCCTTTAAGCTTGTAATTGCACCCCCAAAGAGTGTTTTTGGTACTTTTTAACATTTATTCCTTACTTGTAAACATGTGGACTGTGTATTGTGTGCTTCTGACTACAGTGCAGTGCTGTGGATGGCAGGGTTCAATGAGGGCCACAGCTGCTACTGCTGTGCTGCCTTCACATAACACAGTGGAAGTCAAAGAGAGCAAGGATCCAAACTTAAGACAGTAAATTAAAATGGTTACTTTCTTGGTGGTTTCAATGAAAACTAGATTGTTACACTGAATAAGTATGAACTCAGTCAGTCAGTTTGCAAACTGTCAGCTGCTGCAAGAAACAAGCATCTGTACTGTATGTGTGGGGCCCTGTGTCATCTTCTTTTATTCCTGCTAAGTGTCTGTTATTCATAATCAAATAAACATCTGCAGGTCTACATGGCAATACTGATGTTTTTCCTGTCTTCACTTGTCCTTTTCTCTTGCTTTTGTTTTAAATCAGCTCACGTTTTCTCTGGATTTTCACAGACCCCACACACCAGCAGTTGTGGGGAAACATGTCTACAGTTGAGCTTGGGTATATTTAAAATCCACTCTCTAATGTGCTAGATCAGGTCTATCAGTCTTGATGTATTCATGTGTGTCTGTTTTTCTGTCCCACTTTCCAGTCTGGTTTGCTTGTTGTCATGACCTTCCCCTTTATGCACTCACCTCCGTTGTAAACAAACACACACAGTATGTCACAGGGCTCCTCTTACAGAATCTGATACTGGTGGGCCTGCATGACTTTGAGTGTGTGTGTGTGTGTGTGTGTGTGTGTGTAGTGAATGCCTGACCAGTTCTATTGCTGTCAGCAACTTTATTCCCTTCTTATTACTTCATGTCCAAAAAAGCAGTGCACTTGAAATTTGTTAGAATGTGTTTCATGTCCACCTGTCTGTTTTCTGTGGCTTTTGGATTCTGTTCTATACTTATCAATTTCTTTATTAAAACTACTCTTCTTTTCTTTTCTTTTGTATTCACTTCTTTCCCGCTGTTCTTTCTTTACCATCCTTATGCGTCCCATGCATCTTTTCATCCTCCTCAGCTCCATCCTCATTCCCTTCCCCCACCATCTCATTTCCTATTCTTTTCTCCTGACTTCCCATTTGTTTGAATTGCATAAATGTGAAAGAAGTGTGTTTCGCTATGAGGTAAGGTTGGAGAAGTGTGTGTGTGTGTGTGTGTGTTAATGTGTTTGTGTTGGATCTGCTGCTGGGGCTTGTGTGTCAGAGATCTCTGGGAAACAGACACTTTCATTTATTTAAATTATGACTGTATATATCTGTATAAATATGTGTGTGTGTGTGTGTGTGTGTGTGTGTGTGTGTGTGTAAAGCATGTACACATCTGCTTTCATCCAAACAATTAGTCAGATCAAACCCACAATTATGTCCCTCCCTCTCTCCACCAACCTTTAGTTCGCACACATATACTTGAGTGCACTTGCAGAGAACACTTAACACTAACAGGCACACACACACGCTACAGCTCCCCACCCCCCATTTTTCCATATGTGTGGTTAGATTCCACCTCAGTGTCGTATTAGTTGGTAGGATCAAGGTGCTGAAACTCCTCTGACACCGACTTTCACCGGCTAAGATCTGGATCCACTTTCTTCAATGAAAGCCAGAGGAAGGAGGAGCGAGTGCTGTGATTGGTTCCCGTGTGTAATAAACTGACTTGATGTGTAGTTGGTCAGAGGCAGAGAGGAAGTGCCTAAAGGCACTGGGTGGAATGTAAACAACGGCAGTTATTGGAAGGATTGTCACAATATCTTCCACATTACACCGACTGGAGAGTTTGTGTGAGTGCATGTTCGTTTGTGACTTAATGTTTCCACGCAGACATGCAAGCTGCCCTGCAGTTGTGAGTAACCATTCAGCCTCATCAGTGCATTACTGTATGTCTGACATGTGTGTGTTTGTGTATGTCTGGTGAATTCTGGGTCACAATAACAGCTGGGGGCACACTGGCCAGACAGTTCAGTTTGATTGGCCATGGCATCCTGGTGGCTGTCTTTGTATTGGCTGGAATTTAACTACAGTATCCATAATCAGAGCTGTAAACAAAAGTAAGTGTGGCATATGTGTTTTATATACACGTGTGTCTGAATTTTTGTATATCTGTTTTACCTGATATGCAAATGAGAGATTAAAATGTCTTTCAGGTTTTTGTGTTTGGTGGTAAATATGTTTCTGTATTTGTGTGTGTGCTTGTTTCCAGTGAGATTAGACTGTTAATCTGCGAGGGGTTCAGCAATTAGGACACAAAGAGGACACAACATGCATGCACACATGCAACCCCCTCATTACTCTACAACAAGGACCCCAGTAACAGGCAGGGACTGGGGCTGAGACCCCTCCTAAATATTCGGTCAAGGGGATGAAGAAAAGCAAAACCATTATCAACACTAAAACCCCATTGGACACTGGAACAGACGGAATAACTGAACAATTCATCTACTGCAAGGGCTTAGTTCTTCTAATGTTTTTAAAGACTTTAACAGAAACAATAAAAGAATTGGTTAAAAAAAGGACCCAAATAGTTTGAATTAATTTTTCTAGAGATTTTATGTCCCTCAGGACACAAAGTTTGTTTGCTGTGGCAAATAATGCTCTTCTCTACTAAACAAGGCCTTCTTGTATTTGGCTCAGACAGTTCTTCCACCAGTAACACAGAGTGGAGAGAAATACTGGGAGAAAGGTTGTATAAAATGCCAAATAAGCATTAGTCCCATAAAGGCTTTGTACACAGAAATAAACTGTTCAATATTCGACTGTTTGCAACTCAAAACAGATGTTTTAACCTTTTAAATAACATTTCTAATATTCTGAAAGAAATAATAAATTCTAATTTTCTCCATGATGACATTTTTTTTAAAAGCTGCAATTATGATGTTTTTAAAAAGTTAAAGACGGCAGCACTTGCAACCTCTTCATTACAGTCAATAATAGACAATTAAATGTGCCAAAGAATGGGAGGGCATTACCCATTACCCATTATTTGGTACCAAAGAGGGGGGCGTCAGGCTATGCCGTCATAAATCTTCAGAGCATCATAATAAGCAGCACTGGTTTCTAAACCTAATCGACCCTTGAAACAAAGCATCCCTGAACCCTGTCCTCACCCAAGCAAAGAGCAGATACGTGACACACAGCATCTGCTTTGCATTTGCTCAGGTTAAGCTGTGGCTGGTCCAGCTGGCTTGTAATGGCAGTCACCTCTGAGAGCCGGGTCCGCTCAGTTGTCCAACCACTGACACTGTTCTACCAGGACTGGCTAACAAAAGAAGACTATTAACAATTCCAGTGAGTCTCTAAATATATTATCACCAACACAAATTCTGTGTGGGTGTAGGCAATAAACAAGAATGTCGTTCACCAAGCTTTTGTAGTCCGACTTGATACTGAGAAGGCTCAACAGTGTGTTACAATGTCCCAGAGCCACCCCCCTCTTTGCCTGCACCCACACACCCAACACAACCCTTCATCTACTCAGGCTAATTCAAACAGTCACTAGCAAACATGTTTTTAAAAAGTTACCAAATGAAAAAAAAAAGCATTTGCCGTGTCTTCACTACAAGTGCCTGTGTCCTAGAAGTATCCCTGCATTTTCTGTTTCTACACTAGTTGTGAGAAAACATGTGCTAGCAAGCGTAGGCTGTGGAAATACATGAGAGAAGATTTTTAGAAGGTTTTCAGAGTGCAGATGCTTCCATAAAATTGATAGACCATAAAATAGCCTCTACATGACTTTTAGTTTGTCTCCATCTGTGTAACGTGCATGTGTGGATTTATGTCCAGCCTTCTCTGGCAGTAATGATGGAGCCATTTAGAGCATTCAAGCTGTTGCCATACTGCTAACAAGATCCTGTTATCCTGGAAGGTGCATCTGAACGTCTGGTTGAGTGGGTGACTAGATTTTGTTTGTATATGTGGGTGTGTGGGTGTGTGTGTGTGTGTCTGTTGTGATTACTGTATAGCCTCATGGTAAAATCATAGCCTATGTTATCTACCAGCGCTACTCCTGTACAATTTATCCTGGTCAACCTAAGAAGAAGATCAAAGTCTCTCTCCTCCTTTCCTCCTCCTCTCCTAGACTTTTCTTTAAATGGTTTTTATATGAATATGTATACATGAATTAAAAATCATGAAATACAAAACATGTTTTATCCATGTTACAGTAAGACAAAATGAACATCTTTGTAATGTGAGCTGATGCTTCTTGACATTTCTCTTGAAACTGCAACCATGCATGTCCTTACTGTGACCATGACCTGCATTCTCTCAGCTATTACTGACATCTGAAAAGCTAAAGCTTCTCAGCCCATTAAAGACTTGATTAGCTGTGACATTACTGTAACTCAAAAATGGGAAATGTTCATGTTTTGACTGAATGTTCTTCTGCTTAAACTACCACGGTTGGATTTACAAGACCTTATCAAAGCCAGTGACAAACTGTTTTACTTAGTTCCTAAAACTGTTACATATGAAAGTTTTTTAAGCCTCTTTATAAAAATGAAATCATGAACTAATCATACCACATGTATATAAGGAAATGTTTGATTAGCAACTGTTGTTATAGTAAGTAAGTAATTATACTGTACAGGTCTATAGAAACAAAACAGTGCACATCCAAATGCTTACCATGTTTTTGTGTGGTTGTAAGTCTGACAGATCTCTGTCTCTGTGTGTCAGGTACCTAGGGTGTGAACATTGGCGCCCTTGTTTTTTAAAGTCCACTGGGTGAACTCAGTCAAGTGCAAAAGATACACACACACACACACGTAAGAAATCCCAACACACTTGTGCCAGCAGGTGAGAAACACCAACACTCATACATGTGGTGTTAGTAACCTCAGCCCCCTGTGTGTGTGTGTGTGTGTGTGTGTGTGTCTGTGTGTCAGGGCTCAGGACTCAATTAAACAGGCATCTGTGGAATGCTTTCAGAGTGAACACAACAAGACGGCTGTGGGGCCGACACTACGCACCCCTCTGTCTCACTCGTCCTTGATCTCAATTGGTCTAGCTTTGGCTGACCCATGGCAGCGTGAAGGGGAGCCATGTCAGACACACACACAAACTGCCATAAAGCAGCAAAGATATCTCGTCTGGACAGTGTAAAAGACTCTCAAGGGTCCTCTACTGTGTCTCTTGTCATTTTTTCTCTGTTTCCCACTAGGGAAATGAAAGGGGCTTGGTCATTTAATGATGTATGCTGAGTCCTCTATGAGCAGCTTGTAATACACTTACTAATAGCTCATTTGTTAAGATGCAGTTCTTCTAAAATCCTGTTCATTTTTGTTATAGACAATATAGACATTTACTGGATTTTTGTTCTTTTAAGTTTCAAAAGTAAAAAAAATGTATTTTTCCAAAGCTGAACAACAACGCTGCGCATTGTATATCTGTATCTCCTTGTTCCAGTGCTGAATATCATGTGACATAGTCAAACTGAAAATACCGGATTTAACAAAAATGTGGCCTTTTACAGGTTTCCTTTTTTACAGCGAAACATTTACATCGGTTCAGGCTATAAAGAGCATGAAAAGTAGTTTCAGTTTACCTGTTTTGAAGATCTCATAGCGCAGCGAGAAGCCCGCCCCCTGGTGGGCATAGTCTGATACAAACTTGATGTGGAGCGAGGGACCTGACGATATGATGGGCGCAGGGGCGATGTTACTGCAGTGTTTCCCTAGTAAGTCAGCTGTCTCCGAGTTTCCATCGTGGATCTCGACGTAGTCATACCTGCAGAGGACAAATATTTAGGAGATACTGAGAAGAGGAGACTTTAATCTGAGGAGGAGTAAATTGTTAAATTTTCACAACCTGCTTTGAGTCTAATGTTGTTAGTCTTTTTCCCCTCAGTACTTTCACCTGACAGGAATTATATTGGTTTGGCTACAGAAAATAAACAATGAGCAAATTGTTTGCATCTGTCAGTGTCTAGAGGGACTTCTGAAAGCAGAATTGCTATCAGGAGAAACATGGGTGTCATTACAATTCAAATAAATGCAGCAGAAGACATTGGCAGTTTACAGATGGAGGAGGAGGAAAAGAACCACCTGCATGAAACAAAATAGGAATGAATAGGAATGTTTTAAGATTCTGTAACTGCACTGTTATCAAGTGATTATATAATCTACCTGTTATGGGCTTCATGATCTACAGAACTCCATGTAATGGATTGTAACTACATTATAATACAAACAGTGAGAATATAAAACGACACACTTCCTTTCAGCTTGGATAAGTAAACAGTAGTGTGCACTAAAGGAAAACTGACTCCAAGTCTTAAATAACTAATTTACCTCACTGCCTAGTAGCTATTATCAGGTTGAATTACAGGTTTAATATTTTAATGCAATTGAATACAGTGTCTTAAATAGGTAGCTAAACAAGTCTTGTGCAAGAGAATAGACATTAAACCAAAAAAATCTATTTCATGTTTTCAGTTTTATGTTACAATAGGGTCAACGTTGTTGTTTGGTAATGACACTCTCGATGGAGCCCACAGCCTTCGATGCTAGAAAAGGATTACGGTGGGACAAATGACTAGTTTACGACCTTTCCCAGGACTAATTCAATAACGCTCCCTCCTGAGGGCCTTCAACTGACAGAGAAATTCACACGTTCCACATTTCAGAATGGATTTAAGGCAGTTCAGCATTTTCCTGTGACAACTACGGTCTGTGGTAACCCATGACTGATCATGCTGGTATTAAATGAAGAAAAAATACAGATTATGATTAACCAGATCCAAAACAGACATTTTCCTGTGATATTATAATGTTCTGCTGTTTATTTGTAGTTTTGTGTTTTCCAGGGTTTTTACTCCATGATATTATAGTATGTCTTCAGTTCATTATATAAAAATGACATCACCATAAGGCGGCAATGCTCTGTATTAAAACCAGAACAATCTAGAATGTCTCACATACTTGTTATTACTGGACACTAGACATCAGCAGAAAGGGAGTCACGGGCTGTTTTCTTCTATAAAAGGAATTTACTAACTTCAGAGCTATTTTATTCCTGTTTCTTTCATGTTTTCTGACCACAGGTGTTAGGAACTATGTCCAGCCTCTCAGTAGGAGTGTTGCCTCTATGTCTGGATTCCCAACACACACCTGGTCTAAAATAGCTTCCTGGAAACAAACTCACTGAGTACCTCATCATGATGGAAGGCATAAAGTTTGATTCCAAATTCAATTTATCTATTTAATTTGGGTCTTTCTTACATTATATCAATCAGTTTTATATTTTTCTAAAGTAATCAAATTGACATGCATCACTCAGATGGATTCAAAGCATCTTGTCTTTTCCATACAACTTAAGAGGTAGGTGTGACATTAATTTGTTTTTAAAAAATACCATCTGCCAGTGACAAAGTCCCCCAGTGACTCACCAGATGAAGTTATCATGTGATGCACGATGATAAAAACGAAGCTACTGTACAGACACATTAAAACACAGAGATGTTAATTTTATTATCATCCATTCACAGCATTATATCAGCCCAGCACCCGGCAGTCAAAACCAACACATATACTGGTTTTGTCACTTCTTGGAGGAGAACGCTGCGTTGGCATATATTCATTCCAGACACACTTACTCAACCCCAACATTTAACCTTAAAACTAAGAACCAAGTCTTAAGTGTAGAAGTTATTAGCTTGTTCTCTGTCAGAGGCAAATCCCTTAAATGTGGCTGAACAGAACGGGTTTTCATGAGAGTTGATATGAGCTGACATGGACAGATTAAATACAGTTAAGTGGTGTATATTCCATCCTGTTACACTGTAACAACGATTTACTCCCACCATCTGAGTGGCAGGTGTCACACGTGTTTAGTGTGTGCAGGTGTGTTCGCATTCTTCTTCTCTTGTCTTGTAACAGTAAAACATGACCTGCTGCCAATAAGAACTCTACTGTGCATATCCACAGTGTAATGTGTCTACTGACAGATGAATGGGGTGTGTGGCTTTGCTGCACTCCTTGTGTATGTGCATGCACTCGTCTCTCTCAGCCTGTGCCGGTTAGTGCATTCTGACAGGTGAGCAAGCCCCTGACATAATAAGAATTACACACCACCCACTCTCGCATAGGTTTTTTTTAAACATCTGTTTTGTGAGGAACTGTTGCCACATTTGTGACCTATACTGTCACATCGCTGTGTCTGTGTCTCTGTATGTGTACGTGATCGTGTGCACAACATTTCTGAGTGTTAGGCATTTAGTTGTGCTCCTCATTTCTGAAATGACAACTGGCTACTTGTATCTTGACATTCTCTTTTTCTTTCTGTTCTTGGCTCGCTCCTTTCCCTAATTATTTCTCAGAGTTTTACTTTTCAGTGCTCTTTGTCTTACTTCTTTTATCTCTCTGCTCCCTTTCCTTCTGTGGCTTTCTCTAATGTGCTGTCAGGCAAATAACCAGTGGCCAGGAGCCAGTGTGTGGGAGAGAGAGAATCAAAGAGACTGAGGAAAGAGGATATCAGATAGATAGATAGATAGATGGATGTTAATCAGGTGAGCAGTAATTCCTGTGCTGTTGCTCCAATGCATCAGTCACATCAAAATTATCTGACAAAATCAGCATACAAACTGGTTAATGACAACAGCTGTACTGTGTTATCGGCTCTGCAGACATGAAAGATGACTGACCGTAAAGTAGGTTAGAGCTGACAGAAAGCTGGTGACTTTACAGTTACATAGCCCACAGACTATGTCTGAGCAACCTCAAATGTTCCAAAGCCCGGTTTTCCTTATCTCTACTAAAAACCCCAAGCTGCCATTTTTCAGCTTTATCCACTCTGGAGGCCATTTAAGGGCAGCTCTGTTTTCAGGTGTAGATGGAGCACCAAAAACAAAGAGAAAAAGAATTTGAATCTACTATAGCCAGCACGGTGTGAACGTAGTGAAAGAGAAAACGACACTACATTCACTCTGCCAACTCCTCCCCTCAGATAGACAGAGACAGGTGTGCTTCCATCCCTCCCTCCCTCCCTCCAGCTCTGTGCTTTTAGTAGGAAGCAGAAGACTGTACACAGCTACACCAGAGACCTGTACAAAGACACACACACTATCTATCCCACACATAAACATGCTGATGCCACAGACCCTGTGGCCATGCACTCAGATGGATCTATAAGGGTTTGAGGTTTCCAATCTGGCTCTGTGTGGGAGGAACACAGCTTCTAAAAACTGTGTAATCCCATCATCTCCCTCTCTGTTTTCTCCCAGTATATTTCACTGCAGCCAATCAGTGATTTGCTGAGGCTTGCCATAGGAAATTATAAAAATCTTGAATTCATTTCTCCCACATTTTTCCATGAAATCCGTTTGTCCTAAAGCTATGTATGGGATTTCTTTTTCCTTACTTACATGAAAAAACAAACTGTTGTTCCATAACCTGTAACATGGGTGGCTAGAGACACGGGGCAGGACAAGCATTCGTGGTGGACTTCAAGCAGAGATTTGTGTTGAGTTTTGGAAGTAGACTTAAAACTGACTTGACATTTGAGATTTATGTTTGTGTGTTTTGGGGGTAGGTGTCTTTCAAAAGTGAGAAAAGTTTCCAAACCCTGTGTGACAGGAACCAAGGAAAAGGTCTGGACACAGATGAACCCTCCAGCCCTCTTCCTTTGTTCTAATTGCGTTTCACACATTGTGTCTCTCTCCTTCTCTTTAGGTCGAACGTTGCCTTCTTACACCTGCACATTTCTTTCAAACATCAGGGGTGCCCTCAGCAGTAGACAGAGAGTCTGCACTGCTGACACACACACACACACACACATACAGTATATAACAGGGACACACACTAAACAGAGCTAAAAGCAGGCCAGACCTGCAGTAATATGTGACAGTGTTTTCATAGTGTGAAGAAAGACAGAAAAATGAAATACAAACAGAACCTTTGAGTTCACTGTATTAACTGGGGCTCAGTGTGTTTTAATTTGGGAGTTATATTTATACACACTGTTGAGGAAGACATTTGTTTTATTATTTTTTTGTTGTTGCTGTTTTGGACATATTTTTTCCTGTATTCTGAAATCTTGTGCACTTCTTTGCATGAAAGGGAAGTGCAGTCATCTGTAATCGCACACAAACATTGTTAGAGGAACAGAAATAGTCAATTATGAGTAAATTCCACATGTATTATACAGAAACAGTGACAGTCATGTGAGTGTGATTCAAGCTACATTCCTATAAGTTATATTTTGTTCATGGGGAAGTGAAACTGTTAGCTCCTCTGCCAGGACAACAACATTTACAGAGGTGGTGGATTCAACCGAGCCCGATGACTTAAAAGATGCTTCCAGCAGCACTGATGTCTCCATTAAGGTGTAGTTCAAGAGCAGCTACTGACCTTATACCTACTTACTCCTACTTCTTATTCTCATGTATGTACATCTATAGAGACAAAAGAATTTCAAATAATACATGTTCATAAGCAGCCATGGACAGTATAAGACAAATCACACCTGTGAGGATATTTTTATATTCTTAAACATTAGATATAAGATACAGCTGAAAGGCTTATGGGGTTAGCTGTTAGTCATCAGAGTTATTGTTTCAGTTTAGTCTCTCAAAGCTGTTAAAAAATGTATTTATTGTCATTTAATGTAGTGTTCAAGTCTATAAGAATGACTGACACACTCGTGACCTGTATGCACTGTATTTCCATATTATGTGTGTAGAGTAAACACAGCTGTAGTCGATTTGTTACTGAAGTAGTTAATAGTGATCG